ACACGCTCCCACGTGCCCGGCGTGAGTTTAAGCCACTGGGTCTGAGACTCAAACCGCGGTCGACTACATGGCAGCCCAGCGACATAGCCATTACGCTAACTGCTGGTCCCAAGAATTATTTTATTTAATTTTATGTATCATTATTTTATTTATTTATTTTTTTTTGGAGAGGTTTTTGCTATAGGGTGTGTGCGCTCGCCAGACAGACAGAGACAGAGGAGACAGAAAGCGAGAAATCACCCCCCGGGGGGGATGGCCACGTTACAGTCCCTTCTCCTCCATTCTCCTCTTGGGATCTTGGGCACGCACGCACACATGCCCAGCGTGAGTCTAAGCCACTAGGTCCGGGACTCGAACCACTGTCGACTACATGGAAGTCCAGCAACATAGCCATTACGCTAACTGCTGGTCCCATCATTATTTTTGAACTTGACCAGAGAGTGAGAGGGAAAGCAGGAAAGCAAGCCACTGGGTCTAGGACTCGAACCACATTCGGCCATATGGGAGTCTAGCACTTCTAACCACCATGCCACCTGCCAGCCCCACTCTTTCAAGTATTTTAAGAAGAGTTTGAAGGCATTTTAATGTATAAATAACCTTTTGAAGTAAGAAGAGGCAGATGAAGCCATTTTCTTCTTTCTGATTCTCACAGGGAAACTGTGGTCTAGACCCCAGGAAAATTTCCTTTTATTTTAATTGGCAGAGAGGGGGTGTGTGTGTGTGGGTAGGGGGGAGCTCCCCCTAATGGGATGCGTTCACACTGTGATCCTTTTCCTCCATTTCTCCTTCCTTTCAGAAGTTGGGACAGACATGCACACCTGCCCAGTGTGTTTTTCTGGGATTAGAACTTTGATTGGTCATGTGGGATCTGCGCCTTATGCACACACACCTAACCTGTGATTTGGTGCTGGCCCTCCTTTTCTTCTTAGCTGTGTATCTAGTGCCAGCTCCTGGCCCTCCTGCAGCGAGTTGCTTTGAAAGTTCCCAGGCTCCTTCGCCAGCAGCACGTTGAAAGCACCTTCCCCTCCTCCACCAGGTTTAATTCTTTTCTAAATAGGCTGTTTGCCCTGAAACACCATCGCTTTCCTGTCAGCCTAGATTCATGACCTTAATCAAAAACTTCCTTTATCGCTATCTGTTTAAATTGCTCTAACGAGTTATCATTTGTCTGGCATGAAGGAGAAATTGAGTCTTTAAACAGGAGTGAGTGTGTTCCACAGCAGTTCTTAGGTGGAATGGGATGTTTATTAAAATTCATAATTTATTCTTCTGTATTGATGTATTGTGCACCTTGGCCATTTGTGTTGGGTGTTGTCTCTCTTTGTGTATTGTTTCTGTCATTTTTAATCTTGGCATATTTACTCAACTGCTTTATTATCAGGTAAAAAAGTTGGCCAATAGCTGGGAAACCTCTGGTTCCTCTGTAGAGTGAACCTTTCTTCTTTAAAAAGACTTGGTGATTTCTGTCAGGTAGACAAGACACTCTAAATGAAAACCCTGAATAGTGTTTTTGTTCTCAGGTAGGTTTTAGAAGGGGAGCTCCCAGGGAGGTAAATGGGAATGCCATCTAGCTTTGGCAAGTTCTTAATGAAACTAATGATTTTTAATAGACTAACCTTATTACTCTGGTTAATTTATATCCTCATTAAGAAATTGTCTGCTCAATGTTCACTAAATTCTCACCCGTCTTGCATGTTAGACCTCCTTTAGTTCCTGCCACAGCCATGACAGTTGTCGCTTTTCATCTGAAAGGAGTGGCCCCAAAGGCCCGGGGTAAGAGTAAGTAGTGTCTGTGATGGTCTGTAGACATCAACACTGATCTAGGCGAACTTTGTCTTAAATCACGTCAAGCTCAGAATGGGCTTCAAATACTGCGTGAACAGAATAAGGAAACAAACGCTACTTGTTTAACTAGCACAGTTCTGGATCTTACAAGGAATTGCAGGGTCATAGTCGAGCCCATTGACCTTACTCTCAAAATCTGGAAAG